TTGCTTTTAAGGTTTCTGTTACCTACTGTCGATCACTTTCAAGAATTTCCCTGCTCACTAGGAGAGCGCCCGGTAGAATACTGAATTTTTGCCAACATTGGACATTATCAATTTTCCCTTAACCATTGGAAATTTTATGGGTAAAGGAGTATTATTGTTTCATTTTCACATTCTTTGGTAGCTCTTTCATGTTTGTTGAACACTGTTATTTGTTATTTCTTTTTTGAAGGGCTATCTACTCATATGACACTCTGATATATAATGGAAGAACTTCTCTCTCTTAGCCTTTAATGCCCACAAAATAGACAGAACAAGAAGAAAGGGGGTAGAAAGAGAGGGTTTGGAGAAAGATGAAAGTTCGGTGGAGAGGACGGCAGAATACCAGAAGCGCCGTGAACAGAGCGTGTGCTGCTCAGTAGGTTTGCTGGTACTGTTCTAACCAGGATGGGGAAGCGCAAAGTGGTCCCCGTACAATCTCCGCTGTGAAGCGACATCTGCTTTATCTCTAGAGACAAGGCCCAAACAATTAAGTGAAGACCGTTTGACGTACCTACAAGAGGCAGCACAGCACATTAGTTGAGAACACACACTCTGAAGCCAGAGTTCAAATCCTGACTTTGTCATTTATCAGCTGCATGACCTTGGACAAGAGGCTTTGCCTGTTTCCACGGGCGTAGAATGGGAATGAACAGGGCAAATCATAGGGTTGTTATGAAGATGGAATTAGCTTAAAATGGTGTCTGGTACATAGTGATATGTGAGCCTTTGTTAAATCAGATTTTAAAAGTGCCTGACATGGCACAGAATGGCTCTTGAAAAGTGTTAGGTGAATATATATAATGCTAATAAAGACATTAAGTGTATAAACAGGCTCCAATACATACAGTTTAGATAAGAGATACTAGATTTCAAGGTACTAGTTTTCATTTTTTCCCTTTTTTTCCTTTGGTTACTTCTGAAACCAAGGGTAGTTTTCAAAGAAGTAAAATCATGGATCTCATACAAATATAAAATAACCCATGTGAAAGATTTTAAACCATCCATCCATAAGAGACATATCAAGATATTATAACTAGTCCAAAGAAGAATTCAAAGAATAGATGCATGTATGAGCCGTGTTAAGATGAAGTTTCTAATAATGCAAAGCTGCCCTCAGCCACAGGGCAGAATCAGTTTTATTTCTACTAGACAAAAAGTCTTGTGAATCTCTGTGGACAGATCATTTGCTTCTATCAATCTTCTGACTGAATTAGAAATGAACTCAAAGTAAAGGCAAGGTGTAGACTCCACAGCATCAGAACACCAGAAGGGTCAGTTACAGAGCACTCACAGGGATGTAAAGTACAGCATCGGAAACAGAGGCAATAATAGTATAATAACTATGGGGCCAGATGGGTACTTGAGATATCAGGGGAACACTCTGTAAGGTATGTGATTACCTAACCGCTATGCTATACCCCTGAAACCAATACAGAAAAATACTGAATATAAACTGTAACTGAAAACAAAGCAAAACAAAAAAGAATATTTCTGTCTGTTTCAAAGACTGGCCCAGTTTCTCTTGTTTAGGGTCGTATGTGACCAATTATTCTTAAAGTTGCTGAATGATTCTGAAAGGGACTTGTGCCGGAATCTCAGCCTCAACATTCAGCAGTTCTGTGCAAAGTGAGTTCACCTCTTTGAGCACCAGTGAGCTCTTCTGTAAAATGATGGTAAGAAGATCTGGTTCATGGGGACTCACAGGGATGAACTGGCGTGTGTCTAAAGCTCCCGATACAATGGGTAACTCAGAACAGACATTCAGTAAGTGGTAACTATTACTGTGCTGCTTGTAATTAGCCGAGCCAACCAAAGAATAATTGCTCAGTGTGCTCTGCCACACCCAGTGAATCTCGGCAGAGTGACATGCAGCACAAGGTAAGGCCCTGGAGAAGGGAGTGCAGGGCTCCCACAAGGAGCACCGGGGACATCAGCCTGGTTGGCGGCATCAGCCTGGTTGGAGACGGTGCTTGGTAGAGATGCTGAGCAGCGATGCATGGTGGGGAACAGCCGGCCTCTGGAGGGGCTTTGGAAGCCAGTGTGAGGAGTTTCGCTCTATCAGGAAGCATTCAATTCAGAATGATCCAGAGTGAGATTCCTGGGCTTCACCCCAGCCTATTACTTAATAGCCGACAGTTGGGAATCTATTTTATCAAGTCACCCCGATGTCGCTTGAACACTGAATTTTAAGAACCACTACTGCAGATAGAAATTTTTACTTAGAGTCATAATCTTAAAATATGGGAGTAAAAGTGAAATGAGGAGCCTCCTGGCCAGTGTCCAGAATAGATGAAAAGATGGGGGAGACTGAGGCAGGAGGGAGTGGACAACAGTAGGTATAACTGGGACTTGGGCCATGAGGGACGAACTTCACTAGGGTGGGAATTAAGGAATAGAAGGGAATCGGTGACTCTGCACATGATTAGAGAGAAGTAGAATTTAATGACTAAGTGGGTAGAAGATTCAGAGTGGAGGCAGCAGGTCTTCAAAACTGACCACGTGACTTTCAGCTCAGGTGGCCAGGAGACTAGGAACAGTCCATTCTGTGGAAGGTCATTTGGGTGGGAGCATGTTAGAGGATGGTGATGCTTTTCAGTGGAAACTTACGGAAAATCATTAGTGGAAAAGGGGGGCTGCAAGGTTCAGTGACAGGTCTTGGCTAGAACAATAGATGAAATTTTTGTGGAACACCCTCAGATAAGGTTTCTCTGTTTCCCTTCCTCTTTAAATTGTCAAAATATGTCATCTCCCACACAAATGACTGCATGAGCCAAATGCTGATCACTTGAGAACCTTTAAATGAGTGTTTCAATGTAGGCCTTATCCTACCTGCAGAGAAAAAAAGGAATGCTGTATTTACAGTGTATTTCAAAGATCAAAATATATGGCACAGTTGATAAGATGAGCATATTTAACTTTCCTCTTTCTAGGCAAGACGTGAAGTCCTTAAGGGCTGGTAAAGGTGGTGGAAACTCATTTGTATACCCCACTGAGGTTTTTGGTAAATGCTTAGTTGTTGAACTGAATCTTAAAATGATTCTTAGGGATACCTGACAATATCTCCCTACCCAAGTTAAGCCTGTTTCTGGCAAATTCCTTGGGTTCAATTCCCAACTACAGTCCTTGGAGAGGCTAGTGAGGATTCCTGGCTACATGGGAGTTGCTGCTTGAAAATGAAAAGTTAGAGGATGCCCCAAATCTCAGACTCACCTGACCCCCCAGGAGACTTACCAGTGTCCCTAACACGGACGATTGATCCCACACTCTACTGTCTGGTGGGAGTAGAGTTACAGAAGGTTGTATGAGGAGACCTTCACTGCTCTTCAAAGATACTTCTACCAAAGTAAAACTGTTTAAAAAACTTCAATGGCAAGTGCTTTAATTTTCGTCTTGATCCTACTTTTAGCAAAAAGTAAAACTATATTATAATAATTTAATATGTATAGTAATTAAAGCATTTTATTGATTGTTGTATAAACAAAAATATGGGCTTTTTCACACTCCTGCAGGAGTTAGAATTTATATACATTTTTATTGTTGTCTGATGTTCAGCAGTCTATATTTCACACAATATTTTGTAAGGGATATTGAATATAAAACCCATTATGCAAGGAATTTCAGTGTGTCAGGTATTTGTTTAATCTAAATGAACACCTTTTTTGCATGTTCTAAAGATAAATCTATATCTATGTTGTTATAAAAAATAACAATGTTTAGAATAATTTATATTTTATTCTTGTCTTTAACATTTTATATTAGTATCAATAAATTAATTAAAGTGCTTTATAGAGACATTTGTGTGTGTGTGTGTGTGTGTGTGTGTGTGTGTGTGATTTGAGTGTATAGAAATTCAAAGCAGATTCAAGTGTTCTTTTTATTAAATCATTTGCTTGAACTTTTGGATCGCATCATATATGCAACAGTAAGTAAAAACATTCAATTTGTTCATTTGACAGCTACTTATAGAGCGTCTACTATGTCCAGCACTGTTCTAACTGCTTGGTATAGAGTAGAAAACAAAGTATGATGTGGTCATCGAGAATTTGCACTTTATCTAGCCTATAATAAATATGTCAATGATGATAGTACCTTCAAATAGCAATTTTGATTCAAGTTTTTGTAATAATAAATTAATTAAACCTTTAGATTGCTTCTTCAAGAAGCAGAGGTCACAGAAGAAATTCTGTTGCAGAACTAACCTTAGAACTCGTATTTCAACACCTGCTAATTTTCAGTAAGATGGACACCTAAGCTTATAAATTTGGGATTTTACTTTCTTGGAGGTTCCCATCACCAGCAAGCTCAGTTTGTTTTCTAAATGCCATTGATTGGACCCATGGGAAAAGGCCAATGTGCTATGATTGCTGAGAAAAGTTTGAGCCTGGTCACTTCAATTGCATATATTTTATCATCTTTGTTTTTAGAGATGCTACATAGTTTACTTTTTTAAAATATTTTTTATTGATTTTTTTTTTTTTTTTTTTTAGAGAGAGAGGAAGGGAGAGAAAGAAACATTGATGTGAGAGAAAAGCATTGATCAGCTGCCCCTGCATGCCCCCTACTGGGGATCGAGCCCAAAACTTTGGCATGTGCCCTGACTAGGAATCGAACTGAGACCTCTCAGTCCATGGGACAGTGCTCAATCCACTGAGCCACACTGGCTGGGCTACTTTTCTTTTTTTTAAGCCCTGCATTTTTTTTCTTTATTGATTTTAGAGAGAAAGGAAGGGAGAGCGAGAGAGAGATAGAAACATTAATTAGAGAGAACATTGATTGGTCGCCTCCTGCATGCCCCCCACTGGGGATTTGGCCCATAACCTGGGCATGTGCCCTGACTGGGAATCCAACCTGTAACCTCTTAGTGCCTGGGTCGATGCTCAACCACTGAGCCACACTGACCAGGCAAGTTCTGAATTTTTTAATGAGAGGTCTTTATCTTTTGTCTGTTCACTTTTTTTCAGGTTTTAGGAAAAAAGCCAGAGCTCAGGGATGGAGATGACGATGATGACACCATAGCAGACATAACTAACAGGAAAATGGCTAAACTGTACATGGTGAGTTCACTGTTAGAGCATTCTGTTGTTGTTACTGGACTGGATGTAGTGGGGAGGCCTGTGCTGGGAGGGATCCTGTGTTACATTTGATCTTCTCCTCGTTGCCCTCAAAGAGAAATGTGTAGGTAAAATTCATTGTTTGTTCTAGTAAATGTATTAAAATTTCTCTTTTCACTACTTGTTATTTTATTAAAAACAACAAATAAGTGGACTTATGATGTAAACATAAAATTATGCATTGTTGCTACACTAGTTTGCAACAATGTGTTTTTGATATATTACATTTAATAAAACGTTCCCTTCATGGAGTAAAGACATTTTGTAAGCTTTTTCTAGAAACTCTTGATAACCTATAAAAATCTTCACTTTGTTTTAAATATCGCCTTTAGCCATAGTGAAGGCTTTCCTTGTTACCGAGAGCAAAGTTATCAAATCGATTAGCTAGAAGGAAACAGTAAAAACAGGCCTGTCCTGGGGACTGGCGGACCCAGTTCCATGTCACTTCTGTGGTGAATGACTAGCTGGGTAACCTTGGCAAGACAGGACCATTCTAGGTCTTAGTTTTCTTATATGGAAAAAAGAGAGAGAGAGAGAGAGATTACATTAGAAGATTACTCCGTTCCTTCCAACTCTAGAATTTTATGATTTTATTGCTGGTGAGGGTAACAAAAGCCACAAGATATACCAGTTGACTTCTGAAATGGGATCATTCAAGTGTTCCTCTGCTTATAACTCCCTAAACATATGATTTGGAGCAGACTGTCACCTCCTTACAGAATTGAATCGTTTTCTTACCTGTTGTAGGAAGGAGTAACATCTGTTGCTGTTTAGATGATTTTCTAGCTCAGAACCGCGGGTGTTAAATGAAGATCAGGCTACCGACTTGTGCAGCATGAATTCCTTTTTGTAAAGGGGAAGTGGATTGTTTTCTTTCTAGATAGCAAAAGAAAATGCGGTTACCTCTTCTATTAAATACACTGATAATTTTAATATGTCATATAGAAATAGCTAAAGATTTTGTGGCTGCTTATTTTTTTCATTACTATTTCTAAAACTAGTTTTTGTCAGCTGAACATCATCTTTTATGTCACATCATCAAATAAAACTATTCTTCCTCTTGGACAGCATATGGAACCAAAGAAATCTTTTATAATGTGAACATGTTAATCCTGAATTCATGCTCCCTCTAGTGGGCCTATTGTGTATTGCATACATCTAATACATCAAGTCCACTTGAAAATAATTTGAGATTGTTGAACACAGCAGGGAAACAGAGCCCCCTAAGTAGTTTTTAAACATACAGAATTTAAGCCCCACCATGATGCTGCAGAATGCCACCACTGAGCAAGGGAGGGTCCTAGAATCTGCATGTTTATCAAGTACCGAGGTGATTACATTGTAGCCCACAAGATGACTTTTGAAAACCAGTCAATTCTAACCTGAACATTAATAACACTTTCAATTTTGTAAGTCCACCTCCAAATGTTAAAACAAAAGTGTTTTGTAGTCATTTCCAACCTTCAAGAATCTATATAAATAACAATTAATTTGTGGCAGAGAAAAGTTACTTTGATAATTTATACAAAGTATACCTAAATACCAAGACCTATATTGGAAAAAAATCTATACATATAAATTGTAATGTAGCAATGCCTTCCTTGCACTCAGTAATTGTTAACTAACTGAACATTTCAGCTTCAGCTTTTTGTGTGTGCTCAATGACTGTAAAACTATCATCTGAAAAAATTGCAGTAAAAAGAAATAATAATGTAAAGTTCATAGCATGGTGCCTGGTATATGAGAATCTCAACAAACCTTAGCTATTATTCTTGTCACTATTTATTTTCTGATATTTTAGACACAGTGTCAAAAATTAATTCTTTATTAGTAAGTTCTTTTATCCCAAAGAACTTTTTAAAAGGTTTTTAGGGTATAATTGGGCTCACGGACTTTATTTTCTTTAAAACAACTCTATTGAGATACAATTTACATACCACAAAGTTCACCCACGTGTACCGATTTTGTTCCATTTGCAGAGTTGAGCAATTATCACCATAACATAATTCTAGAACATCTTTATCATCCCCAAGGGAGTTCATAGCTTTTCTGTTAGGTTTCAGATGCCAGTGGATCCATGAAAGTGACCCTGGTCGCGAAAGAAAACCCCTTCTCCATGGCCATGCTGCTTTCTGAAGAGTGCTTCATCCTGGACCACGGCGCCGCAAAGCAGATTTTCGTGTGGAAAGGTAAAAAAGATGCTGTAGGCTTTGTTGCCTCACTTCAGATGTATAGATATTTCCTCAGCAGGGTAAAGAACATCTCTTCTGATTTCTAAATTAAACACTAAACAAAACCCTACCTTTCTGAGTCTTGATCTACGAAGAGCTCATAGGAACTGCAGACATCAAAGCCACATTTTTTTTTCCTACTAGCATCATCTGTCTGGAGTGATGGAGTTTAAAAAGCATTTGGACAATATAAAAAGAATATTTTTTATACGTCTTGTTCATTACTACATTATTAAATATATTTAATGCACTAGAAATTTTGCCATTTTCTCAGTGTTATATTTAAATTAAATGATTGAGTTTATTTTGTACACAAGTATTGCTTGATCATATATTATCTCCCCTCGCTAAAATTTGGTCTCTTTTTAATTCATCTTGTAATTTAGGTAAAAATGCCAATCCCCAGGAGAGAAAGGCTGCAATGAAGACAGCGGAACAATTCCTGGATCAAATGAACTATTCCACCAAAACCCAAGTATGTGTGGAAATGAACTGGCTAGAAAAGAGGAACTTAAAACATGGTAGCTCATGACATCGCCACAGAGCTCATGAAAGGATTTGATGTATGGTAGCGTGTGAGTGTGAAGTCATTCTTCACTTGAGTGTGTGCAATGGTGTGTCGTATGTCCCTACAACTCTATCTGTATAGAGGATGCAATTTTGCAGGAACTGGAGAAAACACCTTCCGGGGGGGCTGCGTAATGAAAATAAGGGTTTAACTATTTCCTCCACAGTCTTCAAGCCAAAATAGTCAACCACAGTTGAATTAACTGAGAGCACTTATCCATTATTCATTAGAACAAGCTGCGCAGCTGGACTGGTACCTAGATACTATTTGGCGTCATCAAGAGCAGCTTGGACACTGGCTGCTTACTCTTCCTTTCTGAATCTCTCAGCCTCATTGATACTCTTTTTTTTTTTAATCTTCAACCAAGGATATGTTTATTGATTTTTAGAGAGAGAGGAAGCGGGGGAAGAGACAGAGAGAGAGAAGCATCAATGTGAGAGAGAAACATCAATCAGTTGCCTCCCATATGCGCCCCAACCGAGGATGGAACCTGCAACCTCAGTGTGCACCCTGATTAGGACTGGAACTCTCAACCTTCGGTGTATGGGATGACGCTCCAACCAATGGAGCCACCTGGCCAGGGCTTTTCTCTTCACTTTTATGTCCTGGCTGTAGTAGCACCATGAGATCATTTCTTCTGGGTCACAGACCTCGTGTGAACCTAGTGTAGAAAAACAAACCTATTTGACTGCCACGCTGACATATGAAAGGACTTGACTCTTACTGCAAGCATCCAGACGCCATGGCAACGCCTTCAGTGAGGGGAGAAAGCAGGGTCAGGTTGTCTGAGCTTCACGTTTGAGAACCTTTCCATTCGCAGTCATTCAGAGGTCCCAGCTTCCGCGTTGACAGCTGTCGTCAGAGCCAGGGCAGTCTTTTCATTTCCTGAGGTTTTCTTTGGTGTGGTTATAGAAAGTTTTTTATTTTTACTTTCTTTTCCCTCAATTTTTATTCATTTATTTTTGTTACAGATGTTCCCCCCCAGACACCTTCCTCCCCATCCCGCCCCCCAGCATTGTTGTCTATGTCCATTGGTTACACAGACATGCATATAGGTCCTCCTCCTACCCTCTCCTCTGAGGTCTGACCGTCTAAACCGTACTCCTTTCTGTGTCTCTGGGTCTATTTTGTTCATCAGCTTATTTTGTTCATTATATTCCACAAATAAGTGAGATCATGTGGTATTTGTCTTCCTCTGATTGGCTTATTTTGCCTAGCAAGATTCTCTTGTGGTCTCTCCATGTTGTCTCAAAAGATAAGAGGTCTTTCTTACAGCTGCATAGTATTCCATTGTGTATATGTACCACAGCTTTTTTATCCACTCATCTACTGATAGACACTTAGGCTGTTTCCAGATCTTAGCAATTGTAAATAGTGCTGCTGTGAACATAGGGGTACATATATTCTTTCTGATTGGTGTTTCAGGCTTCTAGGATATATTCCTAGAAATGGGATCACTGGGTCAAATGGCAGTTCAATTTTTAACTTTTTGAGGAAACACCATAGTGTTTTGCATAGTGGCTGCACCAGTCTGCATTCCCACCAGCAGTGTACTAGAGTCCCCTTTTCTCCACACCCTCGCCAACACTTGTTGTTTGAGGATTGGTTGATGGCGGCCAATCTGCAGGTGTGAGGTGATACTAGATTCCTATTTTTCTTCAGTCTCTTATTTTTCTGGTTATAATTATGATTATTTTTTAAATTTCAGATTCAAGTTCTTCCAGAAGGAGGTGAAACGCCAATCTTCAAACAGTTCTTCAAGGACTGGAGAGACAAAGACCAGAGTGACGGCTTAGGGAGAGTGTATGTCACCGAGAAAGTGGCGCAGGTGAAACAGATTCCCTTCGACGCCTCCAAGTTGCACATTTCTCCGCAGATGGCAGCCCAGCACAACATGGTGGACGACGGCTCCGGCCAGATGCAGGTGGGCGCCCTCTCTTCGTGCCGTCGCTCACATCAGGTCCTTCACGCCAGTGTGTGGAAATACAACTTCAGGAATATACAAACTTGGTAAAAGGGGAATTTTACTTATAAATGAAGACGGTCCAAGACCGGATTATTACATCTGGGAACTTGAACTCGGAAGAGGTGTTGTCTGGCCTTCAGTTCTATTTTGCAAAGTCTATGCTGAGATTCCGAGAAATTAGGTGATGTGTGCAAGGTCACCTAACTGTCATCTTAGAGATCAGCTTGGATCTTGTTTCTTGGTCCAGAACGGCTCCTGCTCTTGAAACTGGGACCGTCCCGAGAGGCCCCGAGTGTTCCCACTACCATCAGTTTGTCCTTCACGTGCGCCTTAGAGCTGTTCATTCACCACTGCAAATTGCACGTGCTATGTGCTAAAATCACAAGTATTTTTAGAGCATTCACATTGAGTTCATTAATTATTCCTTGATTTTTTTCTTTTTACAAAAATGCTTTTAAAAAACCCAAAACCCTAATAATTTTTTCTCACTCAAATCTCTTCACCCTCCATCTACTGTTGAGTCATCTGACTTCATGAGAACTGGGTGATGTCACTTCTTACTCCGAGGTATTCGAATGGTTCCCCTCAATGTGAGAACACCCTTCTCAGCCGGGCCTGCAAGGCCCCATGATTAGATCTTTGCTGTCCCCACCCCCCACCCCCACTACCTGGACACTCTGTCCTTCCGCCCCGAGTACATTCCGGCTCCTCCTGTGTGCTCAGTCACATCATAAGCGTCACCTCTTCTGCGCAGCCGCCCCTCCACACTGAAATGGTCTTCTCTGTGCTCAAACCATCTGTCATATTTTTATTTATTTATTTTTTATCCTGACCCGAGGACATTTTTCCATTATTTGTTCAGACAGAGTGGGAGGGAGAGAGAGAGAGAGAGAGAGAAACATCGACACGAAAGGGACACATCGAGTGGCTGCCACCCACAGACCCAACCAGGGCCGGGGACAAACTGCAACCGAGGTTCGTGCCCTTAGCAGGAACCGAACCCGGGTCTCTCTGGACCACAGGCCGATGCTCTAACCGCTGAGCCAAACTGGCCAGGGCCAGTCATATTTTTCACAGAACTTCTAAGTACCTCAGAATTATCCGTTTACTTACAAATTTCTCCTTCTAGACCTCTCGTTACCTCCTGGAGGGCATGATTAAATATTTTATGTCTGTATTCCCAGGGCTTACCACAAGGCTCGAACCAAAGTGTAAAGAGAGTCAGGAAGTCGTTTTTCTTCCTGTCAAAGACGTGTAGTGGGGATCTGAGCTGTACAGGGGTTGTGGGGCCTGCAGAAGGAGAAATGGCCCTCGTGGCTGGGGTCAGAGGGGACACAGCTTCTGGGTCTGGGTCTGTCTCCTGCCCAGGTGTCTTTTTCTGGAGCTCAGCGCCGCTGGAGGTCCCTGGGGCAGATTTGGTTCCTCAGCACCAGCTGTGTCTCGGCTGCAGCCCCACGTCAAGTCACAGCGCCACAGACGGCCTCCCGGGCCACCCAGGCTCCTGGAACCCAGGGCTCTCCAGGTTCTCGGGTGTCGCCAGGCTTGCTGCCAGGCCTCCTCTGCTCCCCAGGGCGGCGTGGAAGGGCTTCTCTCTGAAGGCCCGGCGCCTCTCCTGTCCACCCGCTCGGCTCCAGATTCCTGTCCTGCCCCTGGAGAAAAATAAAATCACAACTTGTTAAATAAACAATAAACTTGCGTTACTAGAAGTTGTTTAGTAATAGAACTAGACCAAGTGTATTTTAAACGTCTAAGAAGTACCGTTAGATCAAGCAGCTTTAATGTTGGTGCGCGTATTCCACCCTTTCAGATTTGGCGCGTGGAAGACAGTGGCAGGGTCGAAATCAACCAAAGCTCATACGGTGAGTTCTTTGGTGGCGACTGCTACATCATACTCTACACTTATCCCAGAGGACAGATTATCTACACATGGTAAGTTTCCCTTTTTCTAATATCTCAAGTTTCACAGAGGCTAGATTTTGCCCCAGAATTAAATTTTATTAAATTCTATGCAGTATGGGATAGAATTGCCCCGTACTTATCCCAGTGAGATTTGTCTAGCTTATAGTATTTTCTTTGAGTATGATTTTGACTATATTTTGTAGCTGCTGTCCACAAGTAGGAGGAATTCGATAAAAATCATTCTCTCTAGTCTAGGAAAAGGGTTTTGATATCCACAGGGGAGTGTTCTCATAGTGGATGTGGGGCTGAATATCTCATCTCCTATGCTTGCTAACACTCCGGCTGGCCAGCATGGGGTCACAGGCCCTCTTATTGTTAAAACTCAGAGGCCCTTCCTGATTGGAGCCAAAAAGTTGCAATGAGTCAGACCCAGTAAGGGTTAGATATAATTAATGATTCTGTTACTCCAGAGACCTCAAATTGATGCATCCTTATTCTTTGTCCCGATGAACTTATGTAACAGAGAAAAATGCCTTTGTATCCACATCGTGCATGGTTTTGCATAATGATTTGGGGTAGTTGGAGTTAAATTTGCTTAGAGTCAGTGTCAAGGCTCCATGGGGAATGTCCAAGCAAGTGAATTCAGTCCACGTGGCATGCTGGGCTATTCCCCAGCGATAGGGCTTCTGCAGTGAATCAGATAATGTGGGATTCTCTAGCTTTTTATTAAGTGAAGTCAGGTAAAAAAAAGAATGTTGCTGAGAAGACTGGAAAAAAGAATTCTTGGAAAAGATCTTAAAGCTGAGAGGTGTCGGTGGAAGGTACAGGGCAGAGCAGCTTCCGCCTCTGCCTGCAGGGCCATGGCAGCCTCTGTGAGCTCATCGAATGACGTGGACTCAGGTCCTTCTTTGTTGAGGGTCCCACCAGATGACAGCATCACATCTGTCTCCACAGGGTGACCTTACTGCTGACCCCTTGCCACTTACCCTGAAGGGCCTTGAGTCCAAACAAGTTCAGAAGGTGGGATTAACCCTGGCCAGTTTGGCTCAGCAGTTAGAGTGTCAGCCCGAGGACCAAAGAGTCTCAGGTTTGATTCCCGGTCAAGGGCACGTACCTGGGTTGCAGGTTTGATCCCCTGCCCTGTTCGGGGTCATGAGGGAGGCAACCCATAGATGTATCTCTCTCACATCAATGTTTCTCTCTCTTTCTCTCCCTCCTTCCTTTCTACTCTATCTAAAAAAAAAAAAAATCAATGGAAAAATATCCTCAAGTGAAGATTAACAAAAAAAATGAAATAAAAGAAGGTGAGATCATTATCTCTATCCCATAGGCTCTTGCTCCTCAAAGTGTGGTCTAGGAACCAGAGACATTGGTGAGACCTGGTGCTGGTTAGAAATGGAGGATCTCGGGTCCCACCTTTGACCCACTAAAGTAGAACCTGCATTTTAACAAGATCCCCAGGTGATTCCTGTGTACTTGAATGATTGACAGGCACCGCCTTAGGCAGTGGTTCCAGACACTAGCTGCACGTGAGACCCTGGGCAATTTTCACAAATTCAAATGCCTGGCCTCCGCCTCACACCAAATAGGTCTGGCTCAGTGTGGCGGGACTCCCGAGACCAGGGCTTTAATGAGAACCACTGTGCCCAGGGACATTTGACCCTGCAGCCACGTCGTGCCCTGTCAAAGATGAATATGTTTAGCTATTTAACTTTGTGTTCAAGATGTCATCTTCCTGGCAACCATTTTTAAGCAGCGTGTTAGTGCCTGCAATGTGCTAGATGTTTCCATACATTATCTTTCTTTCTCACCATACAATTATTTGCAAAAGAAAAAAAGGGAGCGGAGGAATCAGACAGATAAGTAACTGAGCCCAAAGACACAAGTCATAACAAGCGAAGCAACATTTCACTGCTTGATCGCGAAGTCTCTCTAACTCCGAGGCCAGAGTGTGGCAGTAACCTGTAGGTATGTTCTTGTTTTTCAATTTCCTTTCTAAAATTTTAATTCAGAAAAGTGTTTGCGTAAGCATGGCATCTATAGCGAAAAATGAGTTGTTCCTCTTAACCTTTATTTTACATTCTGTTTCTTGGTCTTTCTCTTAATTCTCTTTTGTACATAAAAAATGTAAGTGATTGTGGCACCTAGATCCAACAGGAAAGACTAAACAAGCAATTCAAGAGGATGTTTGAGGAGTTAACAATTTGAAATCCACGTAAATGACTATGTGACTATAACTGAAACAGACTAAATAGGTTATACATTTTAAAATGCAGGAGCAATTCCTTAAATCATTGAAAGTATTAACTGAACACTTTATGTTCCAAGCACTGCAGTAGGTTGTAAAGATACAGTAGTAAAACAAAACAAAACAAAACACCACAAGAACATATACTTTAAAGAGAGGCAGATGATTCACTGGCATTTCAGTGAAGGATAAATGAATGACTTTAAGATAAGACCAAGCTCAGTGATCTTGGGAGGATTGTAGGTGATCACCCAGCCCAGTCCTAGGCTGAGAGTGAAGAGCTTCTACCAGAAGGGACATCTAAGTGGGAGCAGAGGTGGGGGCGAGGCAGGCCAGCCAACAGGGAAGTTGTTCCAAGCCCTGCTGGGAGGCGTGCTCTGCTCTGTCAGTGAAGGTGTACGGCTGGAGGACAGTTACCGAGCAAAACATTCAACCACAGAAATTAGGAGCCAAATTGCAAATGGCTTTGTAACCAGGCAGTTGGGGATGAACTTTAATTTTCAGGCCATTGGGAGCCAGTCGAAGAATTTGTATGGTGTATGATTGATGGTCACCTTAGAGAAATTATTCTGGTTGGCATCTAAAGAATAGACTGGTGGGTGAAGACTGGTAGCAGGGAGGTCACTGGGAATTTGTCATAATATCCAGCTGAAGGAGAATGTGGCCAAAATTCAGTGGAAGGGTAACGGGGGGAAAGGACAAGATACGTTTGCAAAGTTTTAAGCAGCTGGCATCTGAAAGACTGGTTATGGGAGCAGAGATGATCCCCAGATTTCTCGTCTGTTCGCAGGTGGATAGTGTTCACTCGCTGAGATAGGAGAATAAGTTTGCTGCACCACCCCCCTCGCCCTTAAAAAGTTCCAAGAGGAAAGGAAGATAATTAGAGTGCACCACATTGTTAACAGTTACTATCTTTGGGACAGGACTAAGGATGGGGGAGCAGGTCATTTAATTTTCCCCCCTTTGATGTATTTAACATTTCCATGTTGAGAATGTAAAAAATTTGAGATATCAAGAATATAAGTTAGCTATTTGTGTCCTTTTGCGAGTCTTTACCACTTAATATCCCAGATGTCAACGTGGTGTGGTTTGCAGAACTTCCAAAGCTTCTGCAAAGGTAGTGAAGAGGTGTTTAGAAATAAGCAGATCTCTTGGAGACTGGCTTTCAAATTAAACAACTTTCCCGTTGATGGGATAATTTTGATGCAGGGACAGAAATATCCGAGTCCGGAAGCAGAATCGAAGTTGAAAGATTAGAATTGCATCAGCTACTGAATACACAAATTTGTCTTTTTTATTTGGGAAACCACCTACATTCAAATAGTGTAGGAGACAAATACTTTCGTCAGGGTTCTTTCCTCCGAAATGCCGGGTGACCGAAATGGACCAACGGCGACGCCGAATGTCCTGAAGCAGCAAATTCCACTCCCACGCAGCGTTTACCTTTAATGGGCAGTGAGCACCACACGTTTACAAAGAAACCAGGTCAAAGTAGATGGCTTTATTTCCCCCTCCAATAAGTGTAAGATTTCAAAATCAGAGGCAAAGAGCAACTTTATTATGTCTTGATGGGAGTAGTTGACCCTCTGGGTCCTGGATTCGCAAATCCCAGGACCTTGGCCCTGCGTGCGTGGGAGCCCGGCTACTTTGACAGGAAGAGGACTGGCTGGAGGTGATGGGCAGGGAAGTATTTAATACAAGTGTCTGCAGGCAAACGCTTGCTCGGGTTTTTCAAGTTTGCTGTTTGAAATATGCTGGGGGGGGGGGGGCAAGATGGAGAGAAAAGTTTGGTGATATTGTTTATTAGTTGCCTGAATTTTTTTCCTGTAGGAAAAAAAAAAAAGCAAAACAGAGAAAAAGCCAGAACACTGCAGAGGCAATGAACGAGTGATGCGGTGGCAGGTCCTGTGTCCGCAGCTCTGTCCCCCACTCGGTGCTCCCCGTGGCTCCCAGAGTGTTAGCACTGCGGGCTCTTGGAAGAGTTAGGCTGTTAGCCTTAGAAGATACATCTTTATGAGTGCTTTTATTAGGCAAAACTTGTTTTTTTGGTTAATCCTCACCTGAGGATATTTTTCCATTGATTTTTTAGACAGAGTGGAGGGAGGAAGAGAAACATTGATGTGAGAGAGACACATCCATCGGTTGCCTCCCACATGACCCTGACCAGGGTTGGGAATGGAACCTGCAACCCAGGAACATGTCCTTGACCAGGAATCAAACCTGAGACCCTGTGGTACGCAGGCTGACACTGTAACCGCTGAGCCAAACCCACCAGGGCAAGGGGAAAACATTTTTTAATTTTCTTTTAAACGTGTGTCTGATGTGAGCATGTGCTTTTTTTGGCACTTCTCTGAGGAAGATTTTTATATTATTTGACTTAGTTAACAAAATATTCTGAGATAAATAAGACATGTTCCCTGCACTCACTGTCTTGGTGTGTGTGTGTGTGTGTGTGCTGTGCCCAGGATGGGAAGTTGTTATTCATCTGTTCTAGGTATGGAACAGGTCACTTCCAAGATTTCAGAAGAAAAAATACAGTTAACTTTCAAAATCCAGTTCTGGGATTAGTATTTCTCTCTGCTAACCCCTAGCCAGATAGAAATGGAGGAGTGGGCTAGAAACAAGCAACACGTGATGCTTTGGCTAGTCCCCCACCACGCCCAACTCCCCTCCCCCCACACACACACACACACACACACACACACACACACACACACACACAAATTCATCAAACAGGCAGCCCTCCCAAAGGTTGCCTTATAGGTTAAAGGTAATATTCAGAGTTATCGCCACAGGGTACCTAGAAAGAGAAGTGGCGAATGAACTGGTCACATTGATTTGCTGACCCTCGTCTGGGTCACTGGCAGCTTCCTCTCACGGTTTTGTTAGACTGACAAAATAGGGCCTCGCCACAGCTGCTTCTGAAGGCTGTTGTCTTGCGTTTTCAGTCCTTCGCTTCTGTGCTCACCAAATACTCGTGGAGCAGCGAGGTGGCTCCAAGGTCCCGCCCAGTGCAGTCGGCTCTTACTCTCTTACCAGATGGAGGATTTTCATATGGATCCTGTTTCCCCAGACAGACAGCTCTAACTTCAAGTCAGACAGACCTGATGAGTTATCTAAGCTATGTAAGGAGCTAAGCCTCAATTTCCTGGCCTGTAAAATGGAGATAAGGATACCTACCACACGTGGTTCTAGACAGTGCACGTGATTCATGGCTCGACATTCATACTTGCAAAAACGAGGCTTCTAGTGGCCACATCGTGTGAAACCAGGATATCTGACATCGCTGCTTGAAATGCCTAAGTTCGAAGGTCTTAACACTAAAATACAAGCTAATTCATTTTACTTTGGTGTTTCCAGGCAAGGAGCCAATGCCACAAGAGATGAGCTGACCACATCTGCATTCCTGACTGTTCAGCTGGATAGATCCCTTGGAGGACGCGCTGTGCAGGTTGGAATATTTTTACCCCCTAAATTCATAGAAGTTCATGTTTTACAAGCCCAGTGTCTAGTTTAAGCCCTCCATCCAAGGAGGGATGGGACCGTGACCTTCCCTAGACATTACCTTTTCTTCCTTTTGGAACTCAAATACTCCTCCTCTTGTGTTCCAGTGGTTCTCTCAGGCTCCAGAAGAGAGGAAGGAAACAAAATTTAAAAAACAACAAAAGACAAAACACACTATTAATATATTTAAGAGCCCAAAAGGATCTGTCCTTTAGAATCACGTCACATGTCAGTGTCAGTGATTTGACATTAAAACTGTTCTGAGTCAGCACTTCCAGCTGTTGTTAACCCGATGGGAGAGGGGAGATTATTCCCCACCCCCGCCCCGCAGAGATGTCAGCATCCTAGTCTTCTGGACCTGAGAACATGGTAGGTTATAAGGCAACGGGGAATGAAACATGGAGATAGAGTCCCGGTTGCAGAGCAGCATTTGTTAAGACAGGAGGACTGTCCAGGTTGATGGGGTGGATGCGATGTCATCACAGGAGCTTACGAGGGAAACAGGAAGGCAGGCGGACGCAGGAGCAGCCACGGCCGGCTTTAAAGAGGGACGGGTCCCCCGGCCAAGTGATATAAGCAGCTTCTAGAAGCTGAAAAAACAAAAAGCAAACAAATGGATGCACTCCGAGAGCCTCCAAAGCAGTGGTTCTCAGCCTTCCTAATGCCGCGACCCTTTAATGCAGTTCCTCATGTTGTGGTGACCACCAGCCATAAAATTATTTTTGTTGCTACTTCGTGACTGTCATTTTGCTACTGTTATGAATCGCCATCGGAAATATGTGTTTTCCGATGGTCTTAGGCGACCCCTGTGAAAGGGTCGTTGGACCCCCAGAGGGTTCGTGACCCGCAGATTGAGAACCGCTGCTCAAAGGAACGCAGCCCTGCGACACCTCGACTTCAGGCCGGTGACACTCGCTTAGGACTCTGACCCCCAGAATTCTAAGATAAATGTGTGCTGATTCAAGTCACTAAAATGACGATAATTTCCCATGAAAGCAATAGGAATTAAGTGCAGCAGCATAAAACACACAGAGATTAATAATTCCCGTTAATAGAACCGTGTTTTACACGCTCCCCTATCACAGAGGTACGGAAGGTGCTGACAGGCTGCACCTTCAGATCTGAAGTAAGCCTGGCGAGAGCGTCCGGCCCTCGCTCTCCCTCCCTCCAGAGTTTGGTTGACACAAAGCCTAGCCCTGAACTGAGGGGGTGGGGAGTGGGGGAGGGGGGAGAGAAAGTACTAGCCCCGAGCTGAGGGGGCAGGGAGTGGGAGAGGGGGGAGAGAAAGTACTAGCCCCGAACTGAGGGCGCGGGGCGGGGGAGAGGGGGAGAGAAAGTACTAGCCCAGAACTGAGGGCGCGGGGCGGGGGAGAGGGGGAGAGAAAGTACTAGCCCCGAACTGAGGGGGGGGGGAGTGTGAGAGGGGGGACAGAAAGTACTAGCCCCGAACTGAGGGCGCGGGGCGGGGGAGAGGGGGAGAGAAAGTACTAGCCCCGAACTGAGGGCGCGGGGCGGGGGAGAGGGGGAGAGAAAGTACTAGCCCAGAACTGAGGGGGCGGGGAGTGGGAGAGGGGGGAGAGAAAGTACTAGCCCCCGAACTGAGGGGGCGGGGAGTGGGGGAGGGGGGAGAGAAAGTACTAGCCCCGAACTGAGGGGGCGGGGAGTGGGGGAGGGGGGAGAGAAAGTACTAGCCCCGAACTGAGGGGGCGGGGAGTGGGGGAGGGGGGAGAGAAAGTACTAGCCCCGAACTGAGGGGGCGGGGGAGAGGGGGGAGAGAAAGTACTAGCCCCGAACTGAGGGGGCGGGGGAGAGGGGGGAGAGAAAGTACTAGCCCCGAACTGAGGGGGCGGGGGAGAGGGGGGAGAGAAAGTACTAGCCCCGAACTGAGGGGGCGGGGGAGAGGGGGGAGAGAAAGTACTAGCCCCGAACTGAGGGGACGGGGCGTGGGGGAGGGGGGAGAAAGTACTAGCCCCGAACTGAGGGGGCGGGGAGTGGGAGGGGGGGAGAGAAAGTACTAGCCCAGAACTGAGGGAGCGGGGAGTCGGGGAGGGGGGAGAGAAAGTAGAGACGAAAAGAGAGAACAAGAAGGAATGGGAAAAGACTGGGGAGGAGAGAGAGGGAAAGAAAAAGGGTAGGAGGGAAGAAAGAGAAACCGTGGAAGAGGATATGAGAAGGAAATAGGGGAGAGAAGAAGAGAAGAGGGTGTGAGGGAGGAGGGAGATGGATTCTTTATTTGGGGTTTCTGAAAATAAATAATTTGTTGAGAATGACTGAACTCAAATTCTAAATGACAATTCTGTAAGAATGAGTCAAACTATATATCTATATTTCTATGTATTTATACATAGTATAGACACAGCTATATATAGTGTGTGTGTGTCTATCTATATCTAGATACATCTATCTGCCTACCTATTTATGTAGGACAGCGGTTCTCAACCTATGGGTTGCCTCCCCTTTGGGGGTCAAAGGACCCTTTCACAGAGGTCGCCTAAGACCATCGGAAAACACATATTTCCAATGGCGATTCATAACAGTAGCAAAATTATAGTCATGAAGTAGCAATGAAAATAATTTTATGGTTGGGGGTCACTACAATATGAGGAACTGTATTAAAGGATCATGGCATTAGGAAGGTTGAGAACCACTGATCTAGAGAAAAGTAGATGGATTGATGTAGACAGAAAGAGGCGAGAGAGAACTGTGTGGACTAATTATAAAAGTTGGACTGTCCTGCAATGGGACCCCAATAGCAGGGTCTAGTTCTAGCTGTCCTCGCGGTGTGGAAGGGATCACTCACAGCCTTGTTTGACCTTTCCTCTTCTCTTCAAGTTCCTCTTCTTATGTTTATGGTGGAATATTTGCTACTTGTTTCAGGACCCTTATTAGTAACCACAGGAAATTCTTGGTCTTTGCTTATTTAATTCCTCAATGTTTTACTTAAACGCAGACTTCAAAGAGACTTTGTTACTCTTCAATGTGCTCCAACGTGTCTGTCTACTCCTCTCAAGCCCCGGAGTGGCACTGGCTTGTTCCCTGGCTGCCCTACAGCTAGCTCAGGGTGGTGTCTCTCTCCACCTCCACCGCTCCTGCTCCCTGCCTCTCTCCCTCTCTCCCCCAGTCCCTGTCTCTAGCTGGAGCAGCTCACACTGCCTGGGTATTTTCTCTGGCTGGCTTTGCGGAAGGAGTCTGTTCCCATCTGAGGTGAATCGCATCTTCCAGATTGGGGTTCAGACTGAAAGCAGGTACTGGCCTGGCCAGCGTGGGAACATTTCTGATCCAGCAGCACTAAGCATTCCCTTCGCAGGAAGGTGTCTAACTTCCTCATGCCTAACGTCAACCAGCAAGATCCTGTGCGGTATACAAGTTTTATTTGCAAAGCTTTATAGATGTGTAATTGCTTCTTCAAAGGGGATAATTAAATAGGCACACCAGATACTTTAGTACATATAATCTAAGATGTGGATGTGGAATTTGGTCTTCCAGCTAGCTTCCTTCCTACCTTGGTACTTGTCAATAGTTAATAGATACATTGTAAAGCAAGTTAGAGCTTATTTAAAGGTGCATGTTAACTTTCTAGCTAAGGACTGGCATTATCTGTGCCATTTAATTGATCTTTAACATATTCCCTACCAGATTATGTAAAAACTTGGAAGATATTTATTATACATTGTAAATTCCACATTTCGTAGTCAAATATTTGCAGTACCCAATGGATTTCCCTTGTTAGCCAGTTCAATCCTAAATTGACAATGAAGTGGTAATGTTTAGTTTAGTCACTAGATGGCAGTAGTTTACAAAAATGCATTTATAAACATGTCCTTTTATTGCTGTTTTAAACATTCTGTAGAGTATATTAACAGTATTGAAACAATTTTCAACTTACTTCTTCTCTCTCTTATTCTCATTTCACAGGTAGAATGGGTCTTAATCAGTGGCCTTCTTTCTTTTACGTTGGCAACTAGGGTTTTCTCAATGTTATGGGAAGCGCTAAGCCAACAGTTTTAGGTTCTCCTAGCTACCCTCATCCCAAGCTTTGTGGCTGTGACTCAAAAGACATTTGCATAATTTGCTAGTCACTTATTTGAATGTTTACTTATTGAAGGGTGTCTGGGAAGTTAATTATTGTCAATGCTCCCTAGACCTCCCTACAATGGTATGAACATCAGCATTCCCATTAACTTGGCTTCCAGAAAAAGACCAGGGAAGATGAGAGACCGTTCAGTTTTAGCATAGGGCAGAATAATTGGCCAAAAAAAGGGCACAACATTGAACAGGTTATATAAAAATATACATCCATAGTATGTAAGAAATAGGAAATTGTTAATCGTTAACTAACAAATTAATAAGATGATTGAATTGTTTTAATGTACTGAACTCTCTTTCACCATGAAGTATTATATTCATTTCTTGAAAGAAATATTTCTAGCTAAGAACTGGCATTATCGGTGCCATTTAATTGATCTTTAACATATTCCCTACCAGATTATGTAAAAACTTGGAAGATACATTATAAATCCCACATTTCATAGTCAAATATTTGCAATACCCAATGAATTTCTAATGCAGTATCTGGTGTTAAGCTAATAGGTTAAATTAAATCATTTCCCATTTATTTTCTTAAATTTTCTTATCCTGAAAAGTATAATGTACTTTTAAAAGTGGTTATGTTAAACAAATCTATTATTACCATTTCTACAGGTAAGTTAAAAATAGAAAGTATATCCCATCTATTTTTGTCAGTTTTCGATGTTTGGATAGAAATCGTTTACCTGTCCCCCAGATGGCATCACAGTTATGTTTTCGTCTGAGTTGTAGGGATGTAGTATGCTCTCGTGTTGTCTTATGGTGGAGGCATTTGGAAGGACATTTCTAAACCTGAACAAGACCAAAAACACATGAGAACAAGCGTCTCCCTAAACATCTGCAAAGAGTTGGTACTCTTGAAAAAAGAGTAGTTTTCATGAAAGATGGCATACATCAGCACTTTGTCATTTCTGTTTTGGAGGTATAGATGGACATCTGACATCTTCATGCTTTCTGCCTTGGAAGCCTGGGGGAAGACAGTAGGCGATGTGTCCCTGAGAAGAAACCGGTCAGGAGTGGGGGGTCTGGTGTAATAAATGACTCTTACAGTCAGTGAGGAAACTGGGCTTGGTTATTATTCATCGACATCTTCTGTTAATCGTTTCTCCTGCTCTTGACCTGTGGGGTTTGTTTGTTTGTTTGTATTATTTTCAAAAAGAAAAACAGGAACCCTTTTGGAAATACAACCTTCTCTCATGGTACCACGCATTTTATTTCTTTTGTCTCCCCTCCCCCAGATTCGAGTCTCCCAGGGCAAAGAACCTGCTCACCTGCTGAGTTTGTTCAAAGACAAACCACTCATTATTTACAAGGATGGGACATCAAAGAAAGGAGGTCAGGTACCTGCTCCCCCTACACGCCTCTTTCAAGTCCGGAGAAACCTGGCATCCATCACCAGGATTGTGGAGGTAATGTCATGCACTCACTAAGACAACCCGAGCTGTCAGCAAGTATTCGTGTTTAAAAAGTTGGCAAGTAAACTCCCTTCACTGTTATAACGAATCTGGTGTTCACCGTATTACGAAGGGCAGGAGAATTTAGTACAAAGTTAACTCCAGGCAGACACCAGGCCTCTCACAGTTTTCAACTGCATTATACCAAAACAAATGGATTTTAAGAACACTGTAACAAATCAAGCTGTTGAAGGCACGAGGCCGCTTGCTCTGCCTGGGAAGCCTGGGGGAAGATGGATGGCGGGTGCTGATCAGATGACCACACTGGGGAACTCAAGAGGGGAGCCCCTTGTCTGTACACGTGTAACGAATGTGGGAAACAGGCTTCACCTCGTTCGGCCCGACCATTACTCAGGCCCGATGAGCTGTCTGACAGCAGCTGTGGAAGAAATCAAACCCCATCGCAGTGCATGCGAGAGAGGGGACGGGCCGGTCCAGCAGGTGCAGGTTTTAACCGCTTTGTGCTTTGACCTCTAGGACGGTCCGTCACCTCCCATCCCTGTCCCTTCAGTCATTCTTGAAATCCAAGCCTCCCAAACCAGCCTTAACTGCCCTTCACACCCTGTAGATCCTCAGACGTGGACCCTCTGCCCGCCCTTCCCCTCTGCACTCAGCCATTCCGCTGAGCCCTTAATACCAGGGGGTCACAGCATCTGTCCAGCTGCAGCCTTCTCCCTTCACGCCCACTGTGCTCTGAGGACTCAGATTTTCGTGCAGCCTGCCCAAGAAGAAACTGCGTCTGTCCCAGCGCCCAGGGCCGGTGATGGGGTGCCGGGGTAGCCTCCCCGCTTACCCTAGCTCCTGTGACTTCTCTGTCACACTCCCTCCTTCCTGGTGCCGCCATCGGCCGAGCGGCCAGTCCTTCCTCTCTCAGTCCTTGGCTCCAGCCACAGCCTCTCTGTCCCCCTCCCTCTGGCTTCTCTCATCCACTCTTTTTTTTTTTATCCTCACCCAAGGACATTTTTCCATTTTTTGTTCAGATAGAGTGGAAGGGAGAGAGGAAGAGAGAGAGAAACATTGACATGAAAGGGACACATCGAGTGGCTGCCACCCGCACGACTAACCAGGGTCGGGGGACAAACTGCAACCGAGGTACGTGCCCTTAGCGGGAACCGAACCCGGGTCTCTCTGGACCGCAGGCCGACGCTCTAACCGCTGAGCCAAACCGGCCAGGGCTCATCCACTCTTGTCCTGCAGCCCATGTCATCTCACACTCGCCTGGTTCGATACTAACCCTTGCCATTGGCGGTAACTGCAGACCTCGAGGACCTGTTTCAGACATCTGATCTGACGGGCGTGACCTGTCCGTCAGCCCCTTTACTCCAGGACGCATCTCTCAGCCATCCTCCGGTCTCATACCCGATCCTCGCACCCTGTTCAGCATGCACACCCTTCCTGTTCTCCCTCCGTATCTCCAGCATCCCTGCTCTCCAGGGTAACAGAATCAGGGTTCACAGAGAACGTAAATGTGATCCCACAGAATCACCTCTACTCTCCTCCTGTTCATTCTTATCTGCATGTGTTCATTCTTCCCAGCTGTTTCATGAAACAAATTTAAATGGTTAATTTATTTACATGTAATAAGAAATATTTTATAATAGCTATTTACATATAAATACTAAATCATTTTATAAATTAATATCAATCTGCCCCGGCTGGTGTGGCTCAGTGGATTGAGTGTCATCCCATGGACTGAGAGGTCCAGGTTCGATTCCTGGTCAGGGCACATGCCGGAGTTGCAGGCTCAATCCCCAGTAGGGGGCGTGCAGGAGGCAGCCAATCAGTGTTTCTCTCTTACATCCATGTTTCTACCTCTCTCTCTAAAAAATCAATAAAAACTTATTAATAAAATGAACATCTATCTATTCTTACCCATAAAATTAAAGTCAATAATGTTTGTTTCAAGTATATATTGGTAAATAATTTAAGGCATGTTTATTACCTTTTATAAAGGAATAAAAGGTGATTCCTATTTAAGGCCAAATTCCTCCCCCTCCCCCCCACCCCAGCCTCTGTCCTGGATCCCCTGACCTCTGGGAACTTCTGAGCTTTCTCTGTCCCGTGTTACTGTCTCTCCGCCAGCTCATCGTTACTGCAGGCAGTAAAGTCCTCTCTCTTCTGTATTATCATTCTTCTGCCCCGGGCCACTTATTTCAGAACGCGGGCATGCCTTGGAGAGGCTCCCACCCTGCCTTTAAGAACTACTCCTGACCTGGACCCTCCCAGTGACATCCTTTCCCTGCCCTCCTTAAAACCACAAATCCTCAAAAAGGTTGTCTACACTTTTTTTTTAAAGTATGTTTTTATTGATCTTTTTATTTGAGAGAGAGAGGAAAAAAAACCATCAATGTGAGAGAGAAACATCGATCGGCTGCCTCCTGCACGCCCCCTGACCAGGAATCGAACTGGGACCTTCAGTCCGTGAGCCACGCTGGCCAGGCTGTCTTTGCCCCTCCATCCCTATACTCTCTTACACCTGTTCTCCCTAAACCCAGTGCCCTCACGCCTCCATCCCTGCCCCTGCCTGCCCCTGCCTTCTCTGCTCTCACTTGTCGTAACCCCCCCTAGCATTTCCAGTCCCCCTTTTCTGTCTTCTTAAAGCAGTTTTTTTGTTGTTGCTTCCCCACTAGGCTCTGAACCACCACACTTACCAGATTTCTTCCAAACCCCAGGGCCACCCTCCTAAGGGCAGTTTTGCTGGCCGCTCCTCCTCCGCTTGTCCTCCGAGCTCTCCGGGGCTCCGAGGCTGCCGGGGCTCTGCAGAGGGACATGCAGTTACAGCGTCACCGCCGACCTGTGCATTGATCTCATCCCGAGTGTTCTGTGCCTGGATTCTCGTGTTCAACTGTGACTTATTGTTTTTAAAAACCTATCACATTAAGACAGTTAAGCTCTCATCTACAGGCACCCTAGCTGATTTCGGAGGGAACCATGAGTCAGGGAGAATCACTGCATTCCTGGTCTCTTCCCGGTGGACACTTCTTTCTGAGACTCGCGGACTCCTTGACCTCCCTGGGCTTCCAACCTCTCTGAAATACACTCCTCAACATCCTTGTTTGTAGGACTTCCTGTTTGCATCTCCTGGGGGACTAACACTTGATAAGGTTCTGGCTTAGAACGTGCTTCCTGACCCCGCCCGATCTGGGCCTGGGCCTCTTGTCACTTGTCTCTGCGTCAGCCAGGCTCTTTCCTCTGTACCAATAAGGAGACATTTGGATTAGAAATCGGAAGTCATGATTTCTATCATTCTTTTTTTTTTTTTTTTTTAAATATGCTTTTTATGGATTTTTTTAGAGAGGTTAGGAGGAAGGGAGAGAAACATAAATCAGCTGCCTCCTGCATGCGCTCTACTGGGGATGGGGCCTGCAACCCGGGCATGTGTCCTGACCAGGAATCAAACCAGGACCTCTCAGTCCATGGGTCGACGCTCAGTCCACTGAGCCATGCTGGCCAGGCGATTTCTATACTTTCTCATCATCACATCTGATAGAGCCCTTTGGCGTTGGTCCATGAGGTCTCGTTCCTACTGAAAAAGAGCGATAACTGCATCCCTGAAGGTTACCAACCCCTGGGACACATCTTTGATACTGGCAACAGCCATTCCTTCCTCCCGCACCGCTCTCTCTGGGGCAGGGTCCCGGCGAGCCTGGTGAAATCTAACACGACACACAGTCGATGCCTCCCCCCAGCACCTCGATGCCGTTGGCCAGGCTGGTGACCAGCACCTTCGTGAAGCGCTGTCTTCACTTGGCCTCAGGAGCAGCACACTCTGGTCTCCTTCCTGCCTCGTGCGGCTCCGTCTCATCTCGCTTACTCTCTCGTCTCCCTGGTATCACGCACAGCACCGAGTCCCACAGTCGTGCCGGAAGTGACACGTGCACTGCCACAGGCACAGGATCACAAAGCCAGAGGTTCTCACAGGCCCTGGCAGAGTCACAAGCTCACAAGGTCCTAGACACAGAGACACAAGCCCATCCCGGACCCTCAGGCTCACTACCGAGCCTGACACTCCGAAGAAGCCTGTTCCTGCCCAGGGGCCCCGCCTTTGGCCTCACTCTGCAGCCAGTCTCGGCCCACAGGTCCCCTTCGCTGCCCTGTGACCTGTGGAGAGAATTCTGTTCACCCGCCTGATCCCACGCAGTGGCCACAGATTTGGTTGTCAGTGCTGTGTTTTTAATCCCCTATAAATAGTCTTTTATCATTTGAGCAATAATTTATCTGAGCCCGAGCACTTTCTAATGGATCTGTAGTATTATCTCTTTGCCTACTTTGGACTCCAGTCCCTGTTTTGTGATTTTTTTAGGTGTCCCTTTGATGATTTGAAAAGCCTCCTGGTTAGCAAGGGAGAGAAAACTGAATACCTTTGTTTTATGTAGGTCATTTGTAAATATTATGCCCTCTTTGTTTTTTTTTTTCTTCTTTTAATTGTAGCCTGTCCTTGTTCTTAGGGTCACTTTGAATATCATCTTCGTTACCTGTCACTTAAGTTTGGCTAATGTTATTCTTAGAGCCTTGTGCTCCTGTCTGGGCGGTTGAGCATTCAACTGCCTCAGGCCGAAGGGCCCTGCTCTAATGTTCTTAACGCCCCGGGGGTGTCCACGTGCTGCCCCGAATTAGCTTCCGGGTCTGGAAGGGTTGTTTCTGTCCCAGTTTCTCGGACATGGTTATGAGAGGGCAGCAATGAGTTTGAATCTCTGTGCTGTTTTTCTTCCTACTGTAGGTAGATGTTAATGCAAATTCGTTGAATTCGAATGATGTTTTTGTCCTGAAACTGCCACACAATAACGGCTACATCTGGTTAGGAAAAGGTGCTAGCCAGGAGGAGGAGAGAGGGGCGGAGCACGTGGCCAGCGTGCTCAACTGCAAACCCACGAGGATTCGGGAAGGAGCGGAACCAGGTGTGTGCCGTGGGGCCTGGGCCACTAATCAGAACTAACCTTTGGTATGATTGCTAGTCGTGCAATTAATTTTCCCCATAAGTAGTCACTTTGTAAAAATTATGGGGGGGGGGGTCTGGCCAGTTTGGCTCAGCAGTTAGAGCATCGGCCTGCAGTCCGGAGAGACCCGGTTCGGTTCCCGCTAAGGGCACGTACTTCGGTTGCAGTTTGTCCCCGGCCCTGGTTGGTCGTGCGGGTGGCAGCCACTCGATGTGTCCCTTCACATTGATGTTTCTCTCTCTCTCTCCCTCCCACTCTATCTGTACAAAAAATGGAAAAATATCCTCAGGTGAGGATAAAAAAAAAAAATTATGGGGGGGGGTAAGAATCCATTAGTTACCAAAGTGGGTGATGTTACCTATTGTATTTAAATAATTTCTTAACATCGAAGTCAAGGTAAGATAATGCTGTTTGTTCATGTAATGCAATACCAACCACATGCTCCTGAAGAGGTAACCGTGTGTCTTCCACAGAGGACTTTTGGAATTCCCTTGGAGGGAAGAGCGACTACCAGACGTCTCCACTGCTGGAGACCCAGGCTGAAGACCACCCGCCGCGGCTGTACGCCTGCTCCAACAAAACCGGGAGGTTCACTGTGAGTGTCCTGGGAGAGACCTTCTGGTGTTGGCTCGGACACTTTCCAGCCACATTATGCTCTAATTCTCAGTTTTCACTTACCTGCACACCGCAGGTGATACTCTTCACTTGACATGGTAGCTTTAGGAGTCAATGACGTAATGCATCTGGAAGCACAGGAATATTGTGATGTACTCTATACATCTAGCTGCCCTGCAGAATGTCAGCCACCATGCCCCGGTGTCAGCATGCATGTTGGATTTGCTAACTGAAAAACTTGACAAATTCTCATGGGCAAAAAGAGTGTTTCTGATCAAACTATATAAATGTTACCCTTCAATTTCCAAGGGGAATAAAAGGTTTCAGCGTGTTGACCGAATAAAATATATTATGGAAATATTATAATCATTGGGCAAGGTCATAGAAAGCTGTATATGCACCTGTCAGTTAACTGAATCAGGAGCAATGTTTTGTTTCAGTCGTTCGCAGGCTTTGAATTCCAGGCACTGGGAACTGAAAGTGTCTGTGTACAACAGTGTTGTATACTGGGCTCTGAAGTCCGGGGCTGTAGTCCGTTATCTCAGTAACCAGAAAAGTTATTTCTCTCTGTGCCAGGCTAGGTTCTTGTATACATTTTTTGTTTAAAGAATGAATTCCTTTACTATATAAAATTTCATCTAAAGATTTCTTCCCCACTTCCTGGTGAATACAAGCTTTATTTTTCAACACACACAGACTTGAACATTTTTTAAGTGTTTTCCCAGCCACATGGTTGCTGGAAACAAAATGCTTTAAAGAAGAAACTGCCCAGGTACCAACCACACTGAGTGTTTGTAAGTGATTTGACCTAAAAATTTTAAATTTAAATAGTGGGTTATGATACATGTTTGGTTGTTGGGCACCGAAATTGCTCACCTACTTTTCAGAAAGTCCCTGTATTTTATAAACTTGTCATCAGAAAAATATGTTCTTTTACTCTTTTTTTTTTTTTTTTTAATCCTTTATTGATGCTAGAGAGAGAGAGGAAGGGAGAGGGAGAGAGAGAGATAGAAACATCAATGAGAGAAAACATTGATTGGCTGCCTCCTGCATGCCCCCCACTGGGGATTCCAACCACAACCTGGGCATGTGCCCTGATCGGGAATCGAACCGGTGACCTCTTGGTGCATGGGTCGACGCTCAACCACTGAGCCATGCTGACCAGATGATTTTTTTACCTTTTTTTTTTTTTCTAAGTCAGTAAAGACTCTTCTTTATTTATTTATTTATTTATTTATTTTATCCTCACCTGAGGACACTTTTTCATTCTTTGTTCAGATAGAGCAGGAGGGAGAGAGAGAGAGAGAGAAACATCGACGTGAAGAGACACATCGAGTGGCTGCCACCCGCACAACCAACCAGGGCCGGGGACAAACTGCAACCGAGGTACATGCCCTTAGTGGGAACCGAACCCGGGTCTCTCCGGACCGCAGGCCGACGCTCCAACCGCCGAGCCAAACCGGCCAGGGCGATTTTTTTACTTTTGATTGTTAATTTGATGTTACATTCAAATAACTTTTTCAGCACATGCTTCTATAATTTCTTAGTAATATTATTTGCTAATATTGCTATAAATAATGTTTGCTTTAAATGAAGATATATTTTACAGAACTAATACCTAGACTTTGTTCTTAGTCGAGTGTTAAAAATATTTTAGTCTTTGTTTTGTTTTTTCGTCATGCACATATTTAAAAGAAATATACTTTTCCTCTATACTTACTCATTTTCTGGTTTGATATTTGGAACTCTTCCTTCCCTCACAATTTAAAGAAAAGGCGTGCTGCCTGGCCGGGATGGCTCCGTGGGTGAGCGTCGACCCATGTACCAAGAGGTCTCTGGTTCGATTCCCGGTCAGGACACATGCCCAGGTTGTGGGCCTGATCCCCAGTGGGGGACATGCGGGAGGCGGCCAATCGATGTTCTCGATCATCAAGGTTTCTCTCTCTCTCTCTCTCTCCTTTCCTTTCCTCTCTCTCTAAAATCAATAAAGAAAAAATATTTTTTTAAAAATTAAAGAAAAGGCCCTGGCCGGTTTGGCTCAGCGGTTGGAGCGCCTGCCTGCGGTCCGGAGAGACCCGGGTTCGGTTCCCGCTAGGGGCATGTACCTTGGTTGCAGTTTGTCCCCAGCCCTGGTGGTCATGTGGGTGGCAGCCACTTGATGTGTCCCTTTCACATCGATGTTTCCCTCTCTCTCTCTTCTTCTCTCTCCCTCCCACTCTATCTGTACAAAAAATGGAAAAATGTCCTCGGGTGAGGATAAAAAAAAAAAAAAAAATTAAAGAAAAGGAGTGTTCCTAAAAAGTTTTTCATCCTATCGCCATCAGAAAGCAGGCTTTGGACATGGAGATTCATGTCTAAAGGTAGCAGAGCCCAGTGGTTAAAAGCTTTTAGAGCCAATCTTCCTGTGCGATATTACGTACTTGGTGATATTATTTAATGGCTCTGTGACCTTAGGCTGGTTACTTACCCTCTCTGTGCTGTAGTTTTCTCATCTGTTAAATGGGCTAATCCTAGTATCTTCTTCATAGGGTTGTTGTGAATATTAAATTAGTTGTTGCATATAAAGGATTACAACAGTGCATGGCACAAAGTATGTAATAAATAGTTAAGGTTTTTGCTTTTTAAAATCTTCATGTGATTAGAAAATATTTTGCAAAAGGATAATATAAGTAAATTCCTTACCCTCTGTAAATGGTTAGCTTTTCATTTGTTTGTTTGTTTTTTGTATAATGATCTCAGTATCCTGTCAGTTTATGGCATACAGTGTATGTATTGGCATGGTCAGAGGGTTACAGATCGCCCAGGACCAGGTTGAGGTGGGCTGGGCACAGATGGGAAGTTCCCATGACAGACACCAGGGCACAAGAGGGTTCCTGCTCAGGCACATTGGCTAATATGACATGGCCAAGGCCACAGTCAGCTCTGCCTACTCTATCATGCTGCAAAGTCACATGGCAGAGGGAAGAAGTGAAGAATTGGGAACCGCAGTCCAATCCACCACACTTTCCTTAGGGTCAGGGGGTTTACCCAGAATTCTTAAAAATATTGAACTTTGCCCTGTTGATGTGGCTCAGTTGGTTAGAGCATCGTTCCTTACACCTAAAGGTTGCTGGTTCGATTCCTGGTCAGCGCACATACCCAGGTTGGGGTTCAATCCCTGGTTGGGGTATGTACGGGAGGCAACTGATTAGTGTTTCTCACATCAATGATTTTCTTTCCTTTTTTTTTTTTTAATTGATTTTTTAATAGAGAGGAGAAGGTAGGTAGAGATAGAGAGAAACATCGATGTGAGAGAAAAACATTGATCGGCTGCCTTCCGCACACCCACCACTGGGGATCGAGCCTACAACCCGGGCATGTGCCCTGACCTGGAATCAAACCCGGGACTCTCAGTCCATGGGACAGTGCTCATTCCACTGAGCCACACTGGCCAGGCTCACATCAATGTTTTTTTCTCTCTCTCCCTCTCCCTTCCTTATCCCTCTCTAAAATCAATAAAAACATATCCTCAGGTGAAGATATATTTTAAAAAAGTAAAAAAATATATTTACTAAACATTAATACATGCTCACTGGTACTGAGTGTGTTAAACTAACCCTTCACATTACCCTTTAATGTTAATTAAAATTTAGAGAATAAACTTTAACCCACTTAAAAATAATAAAACTTTGCATATGGAATATTATGTTACAATTTCATCAACTTGAGAATTATTGACTTATAAAAATAACCAAACCTATTTATTTTATTAAAATAACCTTGTCCTACAAATGATAGATAGTTTACTACCGAGATCTCACACTCAAATGTGTTGACATGTCCATACTGCAGAGATTTTTTGCAAGAGTTTATTTGAGCCCAAACTGACAACATATGCCAGGGGCAGATCTCAAGTGCTCCCAAGAATAACAATTTTGCAGCTTCTTGTATGCATTTGAAATTAAGGTGGGAACAGAAGGAAGGGTTCATGGAGGTGAGGAAAAACAAGGTGAGATGGCATCATGGGATAGATAACAAGATTCTGTGCTCTCCTGAGGGTCAGGATCTCCCGTGAGGAGTGTTATTTCTGGCATTTCAAAGGTGTGCTAACCCAGATGCACGAGAATAATGGACAGAGCTGGCTGAACACTTTCACTAAAGAAGTTGTAGGTCTGGGCTGTGACTCCCTACCATGATCCGCCCAGTTAGGAATTTATGATCAGATCACCCTTTGTGGTTACTGTCCATAGAACCTTTTCCTTTTCTTGTCCACAAATGTCTTTAGAGACTTTAGGAAGGCAGCATAGATCCGTGAAGCAACTTGCCTATCTAGTTTAAAAATTACTACTTTGCAGTTGGGTCATAAAGCATTTTTATACATTTCAGATTGAAGAGGTCCCAGGAGAGTTCACCCAGGATGATTTAGCGGAAGATGATGTCATGTTACTAGATGCTTGGGAGCAGGTAAAATGATACTTTGTTCATGACAAGAGTGTACTTGTATTTGGGAGCTGACAAAGCCTGCCTTGAGAGGTGCCAAGTCTAATAATAGATGGGCCTGTGGATTTAGGCTGTATTGAGAAGAAACACAACACATTTTGCAAAAAAATAAAACTCGTACATGTGGCAAGTTGATGTCTTAATGTGGAAATGATTCCACAGTGGCTATCTTTGGCTGTATAATTTTAGGCAAAAATCTTCTGTTTTTCATTTATTTGTAAACGTCACTCACTCCTCACTTGTTCATACATTCATGTGTTCATTTAACTAATAAATGCGTTAGTGGGTCTAATAAATGGCTATAACAGGGGCCAATGCCAGGAGAGACTGAAATGTTCAGAATTTCTCTTGAAATGTGACAAGAAGTTATGGGAGACCCTTCCCCTAGGAAGGAAACAGACACAGAAAAGTCTTGACTCCACAGAGTAAAGTATGTCACTGTTATGTTTATTTTGGAGAAAATTAGTGGTGATTTAACATGACACACCGATAGTTGTGTGTGTTTTTTTTTTTAACCTCTATTTACTCGTGTTAATGAGCAATAGTAAAAGGGAAAAATAAATATGTTAGAAACTCAGTGAGATAGAGTAGTTCTCAAACAGTTATCTGAATTTGGCCTACTCTGGGAGTCAACCAGAGACATTGTTCCTTACGGGTCTGCCGGTAATTGCTGTCCTTCAGTTACATTACACCTTCCTTAGCTCTGTTAACTGGACTTGCTGTGGCGGGGATCATGTCACAATAGACACGAAAACTGAATTATTATGTTATATACCTGAAACTAATATAATGTTACATGGCAATTGTGCCTCATCCTTTTTATATGCATTACCATAAATGTTCCAGCTCTCTCATCATGAATTAGAACCCCAGCAAAGAGAATTTGACCAAAATTTTCCTTCCAAAAAGTGATTTTAAAGGGATTTACATATAAAGTAGTTTGGGGGAATTTCTCAGTGTTGAAGTACCCAACCTCCATATTTAGGAAGGAAAAGGATGCATATGGAAGTTATAGTTATATCAGTTTAAATAAAATCTCAGCATTAAATACTAAAGATTATAACACTTTAACGGCATTGTTAGAGAATACAATACTATAGGAGGGCACTAAGCTTTAATCAGAGGTTCATCAGGGGAGTGTGGGGTGCCCACCAACAAGCTGAGTGTGGTCCCCCCAGTATAGCATAGGGATAATGATTGTCTTACACCCCTCAGGGGAGGGTGTTGAAAAGAAAAACAGTCTGTAAGTTTGTGAGAAAGTTCACTTTGCAAATTAGAAAATACTATGTAAACACAAAATATCGGAGCGTGAAATCTGGAGTGAAACTTGTCTGGGTAGAAGTTCAAGTGTCTCTAACGCATGTGAACACTGGTAAAGCGGCTGAACTTCACACGTCTGTGCCCACACTTCCCAGCTCGGGGGTTGTGGTGAGGATAACGAGCAGGGTGTGGAAGAGCTTCGGTGGGGTCCTCGGTGGGGACCGGCACTGAGTCAACACCCCTCCCACGGTATATATTACTGTTGTTTCCGTTTGCAGGTTTTTATTTGGATCGGCAAAGACGCCAATGAGGTTGAGAAGAAAGAATCTCTGAAGTCTGGTAAGCTAGATGTCAATTCTCCAGAAAAAATTTAATTCCCTTTCATTTTTTTATTATAGAAATAGTAAAATCCCCATCATTTTTATAACCTAGATTTTTAAAAATTCCTTTTGAAGATTTTTTTTTTCTGGCACAATTTTTTGTTATTGAAAACATAAGAATAATTATGCCATAAGTGTAATTGCATAAAGTTTGGATTTTTTTTCAGGCAACAATGAAACTCTCATGGTATGCTCTATAGTAGATGAGAGAACTCTATAAGTAATTGTTCATATGGAACATTATTTGACTACTTGGGGGCAAGGAAGATTTAATTTACTACTTTTATTGGAAAACGTTTCATTCTATAGTTACTTTAATCAAAACTAATTAAATGTATATGTCTTTGTACTTTTTTTTTTTTTTTTTTTTTAGCCAAGATGTACCTTGAGACAGACCCTTCTGGAAGAGACAAGAGGACACCAATTATCATCATAAAACAGGGCTATGAGCCTCCCACGTTCACAGGCTGGTTTCTGGGCTGGGATTCCAACAAGTGGTAAACTGATTTTTGTAGGAAAAGCAAGCAAACATTATGGAGCAGCTGTCCCATTACTATTTGGGGGGATAAAGGAAAAGGAGATTGTTTGTGTGACTTTAGAAAATTAATCTCAGCTATATGGCTATTTTGTTAATGCCTAGCATTGGTCTGAAATTCTTTTCAAACTGGAATTTTCTGATGTTAATGTGTAATCTAAACTAAACTTTGTTATGGATCATTATTAGCTCTGCTTGAAACTGATTTCTGTCTTTTTATTTTGTTGTTTTTTTGTTTTTGTTTTTATCCTCACCCAAGGACATTTTTCCATTTTTTGTTCAGATAGAGTGGGAGAGAGAGAGAGAAAAACATCAACATGAAAGGGACACATCGAGTGGTTGCCACCCGCACAATCCCAACCAGGGCCGGGGACAAACTGCAACCAAGGTACGTGCCCCTAGTGGGAACCGAACCCAGGTTTCTCTGGACCGCAGGCTGAGTCTCTAACTGCTGAGGCAAACCAGCCAGGCTGATTTCTGTCTTTTTATATGACCTTTTAAAGGTGAAAAGCTTTGCACAAGCTAGGGGTGTTGTCGGGAAATTTTGTTATTCAGGTGCCATTGGCCAAACTTACTCTTTCACGTGCCGGAGAAGACAGCCATGTTTCTGAGTTCTTCTCCTTTCTGTGTGTTGTGTTCAAAAGAGGAGTATGTTTGCAGCCGAGTTCAAGCTGAGGTGTCTTTAAAAGTTTGTTTTTCTTCTTTAGCCAATGTGACTTTGATGCCATTAACACCTAAGGGTGATTTTCCAGGAGAAACGTCACCATTTTTGCCTTTTTTAAAGCCTTTGAAAGCACAGCTCTTTTATGACAAAACAATTTGTATTCTTTTCCATATATATAGCTTCCATATATATATTTTTTCCATATATATTAAAATACATCTTTTTGAAAAGGTATTTTGTTGTGACATTTTATTCAAATGTGTTATGTGAGTTAATTGCACAATGTTAAGGTTAAATCCTTTTATGCATAAATAACTATGAATTTAACATTTCTTAATTCATCCTCATTAAGTAGTGGTCAAAGTTAGACCACCTTTCCATGGCTGCATAGTTATGAAGATTTTAAATACCATCTAGTACATAGGAAACCTGAGTCCTGCTAAAAGATAAACTGAGGTATATTAAAAGTTCAGAAAGTGTATTTGACCCACAGTCAGGTGGAATCAGGCAGCGCCAGCCCGGAAGCGGCCGGGAGCACCCACCAGCAGGAGTCCCAGGCCCCACGTCCATTAGATACAGTGGGAGGCCAAGCAGGGACATTACCGACTGGCTGTAGCTTAAAGCCTCGCTGGCCATTTGTGACTGGTTGTCCTTAGGTCTCGACTTTCGTAACCGAGAGGCATTTACGGGCTTGGATCTTGGCCTGCTTATGAAGGCCTGCGCTGCATTAAAGCCCCTGCCGCCTAGCGGTGTCCTAGTTTAATGGAGTTGGCGGCCCCGGGAGCTGGGGCAGAAGCAGAGCTCCAGCGAAGCGGAAGCCAGCGCTGGCGGCCCCGGGAGCTGGGGCAGAAGCAGAGCTCCAGCGAAGCAGAAGCCAGCGCTGGCGGCAGGAGCTGGGGCAGCAGCGGAGCTCCAGCGAAGCGGAAGCCAGCGCTGGCGGCAGGAGCTGGGCAGAAGCGGAGCTCCAGCGAAGCAGAAGCCAGCGCTGGCGGCAGGAGCTGGGGCAGCAGCGGAGCTCCAGCGAAGCAGAAGCCAGCGCTGGCGGCAGGAGCTGGGCAGAAGCGGAGCTCCAGCGAAGCGGAAGCCAGCGCTGGCGGCAGGAGCTGGGGCAGCAGCGGAGCTCCAGCGAAGCAGAAGCCAGCGCTGGCGGCCCGGGAGCTGGGGCAGCAGCAGAGCTCCAGCGAAGCAGAAGCCAGCGCTGGCGGCAGGAGCTGGGGCAGAAGCAGAGCTAGAGCGAAGCAGCAGCCAGCCTGGTGGCAGGAGCTGGGGCAGCAGCGGAGCTCCAGCGAAGCAGAAGCCAGCGCTGGCGGCAGGAGCTGGGGCAGAAGCAGAGCTAGAGCGAAGCAGCAGCCAGCCTGGTGGCAGGAGCTGGGGCAGCAGCGGAGCTCCAGCGAAGCGGAAGCCAGCGCTGGCGGCAGGAGCTGGGGCAGAAGCAGAGCTAGAGCGAAGCAGCAGCCAGCCTGGTGGCAGGAGCTGGGGCAGAAGCAGAGCTAGAGCGAAGCAGCAGCCAGCCTGGTGGCAGGAGCTGGGGCAGAAGCAGAGCTAGAGCGAAGCAGCAGCCAGCCTGGTGGCAGGAGCTGGGGCAGAAGCAGAGCTAGAGCGAAGCAGCAGCCAGCCTGGTGGCAGGAGCTGGGGCAGAAGCAGAGCTAGAGCGAAGCAGCAGCCAGCCTGGTGGCAGGAGCTGGGGCAGAAGCAGAGCTAGAGCGAAGCAGCAGCCAGCCTGGTGGCAGGAGCTGGGGCAGCAGCGGAGCTCCAGCGAAGCAGAAGCCAGCGCTGGCGGCAGGAGCTGGGGCAGAAGCAGAGCTAGAGCGAAGCAGCAGCCAGCCTGGTGGCAGGAGCTGGGGCAGCAGCGGAGCTCCAGCGAAGCAGAAGCCAGCGCTGGCGGCAGGAGCTGGGGCAGCAGCGGAGCTCCAGCGAAGCAGAAGCCAGCGCTGGCGGCAGGTCAGAGGGTGGCCGGCTGAGGAGGGGAGCTGGTCTGCGAGCCATCCTGGGAATTCCCAGCCTCCCTCTGGGGAAGGAAGGGCACGTGGGTTTCGGATTAGGTCCTGGCATGGGGAAGTGGCCCAGTTCCGCTGTGACCTAACCATGAGGACCCCGGGCCTGTGGGCGGTGAGGCAGCGGGAAGCTACACTCCCAGGGACTCCTCATTCATTCACTCAGCATTTGTTAGGCGTCTGCTGGGCGGCAGGAGCTTTGGATTCAACGGGAATGAGACAGACAAAATCCCAATTGGCACAGGCTTTATCTTCCAGAAAAAAGGCTAACAAAAACAGTATCAATAAATACTTACAAAATCGTAGAAGTTTTATGGAGGAAAAAATACAGGGAACGGGACAGCAATTGCCAGGTGAAGACAGAGGCGAAGCGCACTCCGACAGGGTGTTAGGGAGGTCTTGCTGAGCAGGGAATCAGCACCGCCAGGGGAGGAAGAGAGCCTTGTGGTCACACGCAGGCAGGAGGGTCGCCAAGTACAGAGGCCGAAGTGGGAGCACCGGACTAGAATTTTTTAAAAAATCACCTCAAGCAGAACTGCCGTTTTAAGCCTGAGCTGTGAAAAGATTGCATTCTCCAATCCCAAACGCCAGTGGGGGGACTCTGATGCTGCTCCCCGGGGACAGCCACATCCTCTGCACAGCAGTGCGGGGGCACAGCTGTCAGACAGCGCTGCCCTCTGGACGTGGGCCATCAGCACGGTTACCAGCCAGTGCAGCTGCTGTAGCAAGGTGACCGAGGAGCCGTGTTTAGTAAACTGAAGGGCAGCTGGTAGAGAGATGGGATAAAGATTTGTAAGTTTCCTGGAAAGGAGGAGCAAAGGAGTTGTTCTAAATATGTTTTATTGATTTTTTTTATTTTACTTTTAGAGAGAGAGGAAGGGAGAGATAGAAACATCGATGTGAGAGAGAAACATCCATCAGCTGCCTCCTGCACACCCCCTACTGGGGATCGGGCCTGCAACCCGGACATGTGCCCTGTCTGGGAATCGAACCTGGACCTCTCAGTCCATGGGACGACACTCAATCCACTGAGGCACACCGGCCAGGTGGGAGTAGCTGTTTTAATTTCATACCTAAAGCTGATATGTCTTGAACACCCACAACAACTGTAAAATCAGTATGGTGCGGAGGGGAACCAGTCTACTTAAAAGGTACACATTTGGCGGATGGTAGAAAGTGTTCTGTGATAGTGTGTAGTCTTAAAACTCAAGTTATACATCAACTGGCATAGAATTTATCTTTTGGATTTGAAATACAGTGGGTTTTGTACAGCCAATCAACAAATATAAAAGTTTCATAATGAATTTTCTCTTTTGGATAGAGCTAACGCTTATTCATCTTTAACATGAAACCTTAGATTTCCCTCTTCTCTTTGATTTTCCTCAAAGATTTTTGGGATGAAAAAGCAAAACAAGTATATTGAGTGCTTTGCAGACCTTGCCTTGCTTCAAATAACATAGCACATTCATTTTTGCATAAACTCTGTGGCTAGAAAACAACAAAATTTAATGAATCCAGGAAAACCAAGCGCTAATCGGAAATAAGTATTATAGTGAGAAGGTACACATCTCAGGGGTTTCAAATAAGCAATGATTATACTTTGTGCAAAAGACCAGTTCACAAGGAATCTAGGTAAAGGGAATGCTGTTTTATTGTCTTAGTTATTGTTTGCTTGTTTTGTTTCGCAAGACCATCAGAGAATTGACTTCAGAATAGCATGTATTGGACAGGGTGTCCAGAGGGATAACATAAACATACATATTTGTTTTATAAAGGCGCTTACAATATTCATCGAGAGAAAATATTCTGGGCCATAAAACAAATTCCAGCACATTGAAAGTAGTGAAATTATACAAACTGTGTTCTCTAACCACAATGGATTACACTAGAAATCAATAACAGAGATATCTGGCTAATCCCCAAATATTTGGATAAAAGGAGAAATCACAAGGGAAATGAAAAAATATTTTTATCTCAATGAAAATTAAAAACAGCCCATCAAAATATGTGGGAAACTCAGTGCCCAGCAGAAATTTATAGCATTAAATCCTAACAAAGAGACAGAAAGACCTCAAGTCAGTGATCTAAGTTTCCACCTTAAGAAACTATAAGAAATGCACATTCAACCCAAAGAAAAGAGAGACAAGGGAATAACTAATAATACAGAAAAGGAGAAAAAACATAAATTGCCCATCTGAGAAATAAAATAGGGGTATCACCACAGAACCTATGGTCACTAAAAAGAAAATAAGAATCAACAAAAGGGGTTAATTTTCAAACTATATAAAGTACTCATACAACTCAACAAAAGGAAGACAAAGAACCCAATTGAAAAATGGGCAGAAGACCTAAAGAGACACTTCTCCAAACAGGACATACAAATGGCCAAGAGACATATGAAAAAAATGTTCAACATCACTAATAATCAGAGAGATGTAAATTAAAACAACAATGACGTATCACTTCACACCTGTCAGAATGGCTGCCATCAACAAATCATCAAACAACAAGTGTTGGCGAGGGTGTGGAGAAAAGGGGACTCTAGTACACTGCTGGTGGGAATGCAGACTGGTGCAGCCAGTATGCAAAACACTATGGTGTTACCTCAAAAAGTTAAAAATTGAACTTCCATTTGACCCAGTG